CAAAGAGTTTAATGCAGAAGCAACACCAAAGTGCGCAGCAAGAATCTTGACACGGTTGGCTGCATGCGCGCGTGCGTGAGTGAGTGTGTGTTTGTGCGTGTGTGCGCGCGTGTGTGTGTGTGTGTGTGTGTGTGTGTGTGAGAGAGAGAGAGAGAGAGAGTGTGTGTGTGTGTGTGTGAGGTGATTGATTGACATGCCATCAGGGCCCGCATCAACAACAGCAGCCGAGGCGGGTAGCCAAGAGACAATGGTACGAGGCTTCCTTTGAGAATGGGCGGCCAGGGGCATGGCATACACAAAGGCTGGCCATGCGAGGCGATGCAACACTCAGAAACACCAAGAGAATGCAGAGTATGGTGCGATGCATGATCTCGCTCAAATTGGCAAAGGTTGGAAGTTGAAGCAAAGCCAAGCATCGAGGCCAAAGGGCAGCCACTCACGGTACGCATGCATGAATCAAAGCAGGTGGTAAAGCGATGGTGCGTGTGTGTGTGTGTGGTGTGGTGTGGTGTGCAACCATGACTCAAAGGAGAGCAGCAGCACCCGAATAAAGAGGACGGTACAGCGATGGCAGAGGCCAAAGAAAGTCTCGGGGATTCAAGCACAGGAAGAGGCATGTGCGCGGCTGTTGGCGAGGACTCACACTCTCTCGAGAAAAGGCGTTGATCGGTTTCTGCAAAACGCGTCTTGGCCTTCACTTGCAGGTGCGTTTATGCAAAAGACCAAGAAGGGGCTGAAACGAATCAAGGAGGTTGGGGAAATATAGCCACAAACGAAACGAAACGAAACGAAACGCGCGATGCTCGCGCCGCCGCGATCCGGTTGAAAAATGAGTCCCCTCACCAAGCTAGCACTTGTACACGCAAATGTGCGTACGACTATGTGTCTGGGCTCAGGGCAAAGGAGAGAGAGAGTGTGTGTGGAAAGCAGCCGGTGGGAGCTGCATACATGAATGGCTATATCCTCTGCAAAAACTGGGGGGTAATGGGTTAAGGAAAAGGGTTAGGGACTGGAGCCGAAACGACATGAATAGGAACAGAACCAACATTAAGCCTGCAAGCGGAAACAAAGAACCTCAGGAACAAAGGAAGCAAACAAAGAGAAAGAGAGAGAAGCACACAAGCAATGAGCAACTCACAAGCATGGAAGAGGGGGGTGAGGGAGGGTGAGAAGTTGGCAGTTCAGGTTTGGGACTGAGTGAAGAGAGGTCCGAAGAACCAAGAGAAGGGGTGAGAAACAGGAGCGGGTGGGTGACGACTGGTGAATTGGGAGGGGAGTCTGTTTCGCCAGATATGCCGTCTACTTGGCTTTGATGAATTGGGCCGGTCATCCTGTTGGGGTGCTGTGGTGAGGCCCTGTCCTCTTTTGGCGTTGAATTCCTTTTCTACTGCAGGCAAATTCAAGTGTTCAGCTTTGAGGAAAGGAAGACGGGACGGGCACGAGCGCCTGCGTGCGGTGCGGTCGTTGTGTCAGGACATTCCACGCCCAGTCAAGTCCTTTGAGTTGGGGTGCGCTTCGCCGGGAAGGCGGGGGACTACAACGTGACCGGGATCAGTCTTGTCGGGCGGCGATGACGGCAGGCATGCTGGCACCCGTGGGCCATATGGGCGACGGCAGTTTGTGAAGGCGTGCTATGCTCCGATTGCCTATGCGGTGTGAGAGGCAGGGTGACGTGAGGGCGTCCGCAGAATGGACAAAGCCCTTGCCGCCGTTGCTGCTGTAACAGTCCAACAAAGAGAGAGTTTGCGAGAGAGAGAGTTTGAGAGAGAGAGAGAGCATCAAGTGAAGTGCAACATACCAAGTAGGTCCAGAAACAATCCAACTCGGAATCAACTCCCCATCATGACGTCACACACCGTTGCAGTAACGCGCCCGAGCATCGCAAATACGGGATCCCGGTCAGCGTGCAATGCCGCCGCTCTCGAGTGCGCGTGTGTCTCTCCTCTACTCATGGCATGTTGGCGCGTCGGAGTGTCCCACTGGTGTGCGACTGGCAGTCAGCGCTTTTGACACTCGGCAGCAAGTGATAAGTCAATTCAAATAAGTTTTATTGACGAGCGAGTTTCTCAACGGGGTTTGGGGTGGCCGATACGACGCTCAAACGCATAGAGACGCTTGAGGATCAAGAATGAAGAGCACGGCGTCGCAACAGTCAGTGGGGGGGGGGCGCCTAGCGTACGTCGGCAGCAATTCGAGCATCGGCGCCAGCCAACGCGGACCTCGGCGTCCGTTCCGTTCCGAGGTTTGGGGCGATTGCAAGCAAGAGCCGGGGGGGGTCAAGAAGGAAAACAAACACCAACCAACCCAACAACCAACCCTCAGGGTAACGCGCACCACACTCACAAGTCCTTCCCGCTCCCAACACGATACCCTACACGAATCCCCCCCCTGTGCAGGAAGGAGAGGTAAGAGAGAGAGCGAGAGCGAGCAAGATATTGTCAGACATTTTGGCCTGTGGGGTGCTTTGGGGCTGGCACACTCGCAAAAGCTCACGAAAAGGAGGGACAAGGACATGCGCAGCCGGCAAACAACCACAGACACAAGCTAACACAACACGCGCGCACATATGCGAGAGGACGCACGCACACACACACACACACACACACACACACACACACACACACACACACACACACACAGACACACACAGAGGGACACTGTTCCGAGTCCGCATTCTTACCTTCGCAACCCCTTCCCCACCTCTTTTTGGCTCCCCCTCTCCCCTTTCCCCTCTGTTGCCCACCACCCCATCCCTCCCTGTCTCCTCGCCTTGTTGTCCGTGCATGTGTCTGGCTTTTTCTCGGACTTGGGCTTTTCCTGTCCCAATCGATGACGCGCCAGTCCGCAGCAAGAACCTGAACACCGCCGCCGCCACCGCCGCCGCCTTCTTGCCCACCGGCGGCTATCCTTTTCGTGCAGGAGAGAGGGGCACAGCGTTTGTTGGCGCACTTCTCCTGAATCAGCGCCAGTTGGTTGAATGTTGTTGGTCCATTTCCACGCGCGCGCGCTGCTGTTGCTGCTGCTCCTTGCGTGTTGCCCCCGTGTGTGTGAGTAGCGGTCACACCAAACAAAATCAAGACGAGTGCAAGCCTCGGCGTCTCGCCTTCAACATCGCGACTGCCTTTGCTGTCTGCCTCAAGTTGAAGGACCTCGCGCTGCTCGCCGCTGTTGGCGCGTCTCCCAACCCAACACTGCGCCTGTAGCACAGTATGGCCCCATCGCGCGCTTCGGCATCGGGTAGAGCCGGCGGCGATTATGTCGTGGCCAATAGCGTCGACGCCGATGACCCGGTACAAGCTTGCACCTGCCACCTTGCCCACCAGACAATGCTGCCATTCTCCCTCTCTCTCCCTCTCTCTCTCTCTTGCCGTTTGCCGTGCATGGCTCACTCCACTGACCCACCACAACACCCCCTTCGTGCCACGTAGTCTCACAGAGCCTCTCGGCAGCGGCGTTGGCAACAAGCCTCGGCACGCACAGGTGACGAGGCCCATCAATACGTCGAAGTCTCGAGTCAACTCTCTGATAAAAACGTGCGCATCCCCCCGCCCGTCAGTCACCGCAAGTCCGACAACGATTACTACAGACCCGATTGTGATGCCTCCATCGCTGGCTCCCATCTCAACCATGAGACAGTGGGCGCCTTTCTCGTTCGACCCGCCAGCGATGGCCATGCCTTCTCCCTCAGCGTCAAGTTTAGCCTCGGTGTCCGCCACATATCCATCAAACCCCACATCATTCAGCCCAGCCACGGCGCTCCTCCAACCTTGGTCTACACCATGAACGATCAGAACTTTCACACGGTTCAGCAACTGGTCGATCACTTTCGCACCAACCCCCTCTTTTCTTCCCCGCCCTACTCCATCCGGCTCGACAGTGCCCGGGGCCTTGAGCGTACGTCAATCCCACCCTTGCCTTGAAACCCTATTAAGTCTAGATTTCATCAGCTCAACGACTAACCCATCCTTTGCTCGTGTCATCCGCAGCCTTTCCCGACGCAGAGGTTCGGAACTCTCGTCTTCAACAACATTTGAAAAAGAAACGCCCGTCGCCCGTCGTGGCCGCGCAGGCGAGCAACTACACGCCTCAAGCCCCAAGTGCGCACGCCATCCCTTCCAGCTTGCAGGCCAGGTCCCACAGCACCCAGGATGAGACCCAACACTATGCCGCTTCGCTTGAGAGACTGAGCTTGGACGCCTCCTCAACGGACGCCAAACAGTTTGATGGTCCTTTTGGTGCCCCCTCAAACAGCTTTGCACACCTGATGCCCAAAAGCACCTCACACCAAAGTGCGACTGAGCCATCGGGTGCTCAAAGCAGCCAAGGGGGCTTTCACTCGGCCTTTTCAGCCCCCACAGCTCAGTCAGCCGCTCAACCGTCCCAAATACCTTCGGCTTTCAATACCAGCATGCCCAATGCCTTTCTTTCCCGCCCCCAGGGAACCAATGCCTTTGGAGCCACCCCTTTTCAGTCTCCTTTTCAATCATCTGCTTCAAGCTTCAAGCACGCGACTGACACAAAGCCAGCATCTCCCAGCGATCAACGAGCCAGTCCACCTCTTCCCATGCAACAGGGCGATGATTTTCTGGGAACCATCGTCACGTCTGAGGTCTAGCTCACACCGCCACATTCCCGTGCCGCCTTGCCTTCATCTCTATTCCTCGATTGATGTGTGTGGACTGTTTTGTCTCCTTTTGTTCTTGGTGATCATGCATGATTATTTTTTTTCTTCACTCTATTCCAGTGTCAGCCCCCTCTGCCCTTGCCACACGAGACTTGCCTTCTTTCTCCTGCCCACCCCCCCTTTCATGTGTGCAAGTATGCAGACGGTCATGAGCTGAGCTCTATTTTAACTATAACACTCTTCCTTAGCCCCAGTTGGGCGTAAATCGAACAACGCAATCGCTGAACCCCCACTTTGACCAACGACTTCACTGCTCAATCTCCGCCACGGTGAACCATTCCCACCAACATAAGTTTGGACTTGAAGAGGGTGACTCACGTTGAAGTTGGCACGAGGGAAGACGTGAAGCATTAGAAAGGAGTTGCGCGCCATTAACGCTGAATTCATTTTGATCGTTGGGCAAGCGGGCTTCCGCACGGCGAGTGCCCGTCATTGAAGCGTGGTGGGAACATATGCTCGGTGCATGCAAGCGCCAGTCACACATGTCATCCCCCCACCTTTTGTCAACAGGAGAAATCAGTCAACGTGCGCGCCGTTGGAGAGGCGCGACTGTGCATAAACACACCAAACAATCAAAAAGAGAAAAAGGAAAGAGACCACATCAAATCAACACGAGAACGCGAGACGCAACAACACACTGGAGGTGGGAGGTGGGAGGGCAAAAATGCCACACAAAGGCGGGTGATCCACAAAAGCATCGACACCACAGACAGCGAGGTGGGGGTGTAAAGGAGAACAACATGGGCAAGAAAGAAGAGGAGGAAAGACAGCGCAGAAATGCAAAGGAATATGTCGTAGGGTCGAGCAGGGGAGAGGCAATCAACAAACAAGTAGGTGAAGGAAGCAAAAGAGGGAAAGGGGAGAACAAATAGTTTGTTGTCAATCACACAAGACACTTTTAGCAACTAAAAAAAGGGAAACATGATGGTACGGTCTCCCGATTTAGAGCAAGACACAACCACGCTTCTTCTCTTGCACGGGGGGCTCGAGGGCCGCCAAGATAGCCTCGTCAAAGACGTTCTTAAGGCCCTTTTGTGTCAGAGCCGAGCACTCGACGTACTCGACAGCCTTGAGCTCCTTGACCAGCTTCTCACCCTGCTCAAGGGTAATGGGTCGCTGCTTGTTCTTGGCCAACTACACACACACAAAAAAAAAGGAGGGCAAAGGTAATGCGTCATGAGCGTGGGGCCTTGAGAATCGGCGAGAATCGGCTAGGCAAATCTTGCCACATTTGTTCAGACCCGAGCGACACAGACGTGTGGTATGGACACCGACCTTATCAACCCAAGTGGAGTCGTCCCGAAGATCGACCTGGGTACCGACGAGCAAGAAAGGGGTCTTGGGGCAATGATGCTGAATCTCAGGCACCCACTACAAGAGTGACGGAGATGAGGTGAGTCTCAATCATGGCGTGTGTCCACAAACGGGGCCATCAAGCAACGACAACAGCATTAGCAACAACAGCAAGAACAAACAAAAACACCGAGTCGTCATCGTACCTTTTCCTTGACGTTTTCGAACGAGGCAGGGGAGACAACGGAGAAGCAGACCAGGAAGACGTCGGTCTGGGGATACGAGAGGGGGCGGAGACGATCATAATCCTCTTGACCAGCGGTATCGAACAGGCCGAGCGTGTAAGGCTCGCCACGGATCATCACCGTGACGGCATAGTTGTCGAACACCTGCAATGCGAGATGATAATGAGTACACGGTGAAAAAGTGTAGAAACAGTCTCATCTTCGACTCGACCCGCCCAAATCCCAATCTCTGTTCCTTCTCCGGCCTTTCGCAAGGAAGGGCGAGGAAAATCAAAAAGTCAAAAACCAAAACACCACGTAGACGAGTAGATCAGAACAAAAAGGTTCCCTGGGCCAGTGGGAAGACATGGAGACCAAGACAAGCGCAGAGCCCGGGCGCATGCACCATTGTCTGTTTCATTCCTCTCCCACTCTCCCTCAATCCCAATCTTTTTGTTACCACTCAACAATTTCACAAACCATCATCCATGGCTTGGATACAGGACGCGACGGCCTTTGAGAGCACACACGTTGAGCTACTAACCGTGGGAACGTATTCACTGGGGAACTTGTTGGTGGTGTAGGAAATCAGCAGGCAGGTCTTGCCGACCGCACCGTCACCAACCACGACACACTTGATCGTCTGCATGATGGTGTCTGTGATAAAAGGGGACTGACGTTGTTTGCGAAAAAGATACGGTCAAAGCAACGCTTCTGTAAAGTCCACCGATGTAGCACCAGAAAAGTCAGGACAGGGGTAGTCGGGCAAGCGCGGGCATCAAGTGAGAAAGACGCCTGGAAAAAAAAAAGGAAACAGAGAAGGGCGGGCAAGTTTTTTTTTTCGAGCCGGAAAAAAAAAAAATGGCAGTCGAAGAATGAAAAGCAGGTTGACAACAACCGAGGCAGAAACAACAAAAGTCACAAAGTGAAGAAGAACGAAAAGCGAGGAGGAGCGAGGTCGAGGCAAGTGGTCGTGCTGATGGCCAAGACAGGCACTTTCAGCACGAAGGCGCACGATCTGGACTGATGGGTCGGTTGGAACCAAGAAAGGAAGTATAAAACGAGCAACTGGAACAACGCACAACAAAGAAGAGCAAGCCAGACAAACAAAGGGGCCGGGGGAGCCCAAGGTCGTTTTTGGGAGCGCGGCAGTGCCAGAGCAACAAACAGAAAGTCAAGGGAAGCACTGCTACTCACTGGGAAGGGGGGGAATGACCAGCAAGGGCTGGCGAAACTGCGTCGATAGATGAGCTGCAGCGACAAGGTGATGACGGGGCGTGGCAGCACCCAGATAAAGTATGTGGCAGAGGGATGGATCACCCAAGCAAGGGCAAACAAATGGAGGTGAGTTTGTCCGGCCACCAAGTAGCCCGAAACGACGAGCAAGGGCAAGAGCAAGAGCAAGGCGAAGGCCAAGTCTGTGCCGACCAAAGGCACACCGTGAAGCAGGAGAGATGACCTCTTGACTCTGGCTCTGGCGCGAGATGTGTGTGTGTGTGTGTGGCTCGGAGGGCAATGGCAGCGACACAACAGTACCTCTCTCTTACAAGGCAGAGCGTCAAAAAGGGTGGAACAAAGAAAGAGAGAGAGAGAAAGAGAGAGAGACAGAAGAGAGAAGAGAGAGAGAGAGAGACAGAAGAGAGAGAGAGAGAGAGAGAGAGAGAGAGAGAGAGAACAAAAGAAAAGGAGAGGGGGGCGGATCCCCTTTGTTTTCTTGCGATGGGTGGTTAAAGAGGGGAGAAATGGTAGAGACGAGAGAATGTTCAGATAGGGGGGATGGCCTGCGTTGTGGAGCAAGCACGATTCAGAGATGAGGCCATGCGAGCAGGCCGAACAAAAGAATGTAGAGAGATAAAAAAGTCCAGAGATGACCAGATGGACTCGAGCTGGCATGGCATGAGAGGTTTGGTGGTAGTGGTTCTTCGCCTGAACGGCTGATGCTTACGGCTGAACAAAGAGGGGAAGGCTTTGTCCCCCTTGCTTTCTTTGTCAGGAATTTTGGGTATAGTTTTATCGGTGAAAATGGGTGCAAACGACATTCTTGGATTTCCGAGTCGGTTTCGGGGTCAAAACTTAGAGGCATATGCATGACTCGGCAATGTCCGCTCAAATCAGGCACCCCTCTTTCTGTTTTGGCGGGAAAGTGGAGAATATTGTCGACAAATGTGCATCTTCACATGTCGCATGTCAGCTCAAAAGAACAATCGGTGTTTCCTTTTGTTTGCCGAGATGGATCGGGCCCAGATGGATCGGGCCCAGTTGCCGCAGGCCGACACCGGCCTCGAGGGCCAAGCCATCGCACTCATGCCCAGTGCCGTTGAATTTGGCCGAAGCCTCGGTCGCTTACTCGCCGCGCACAGGGACAACCAGACTTGCCTGTCCGGGCTTCAGTATGCTGCTGCGCAAGCCCGTGCACGGCTTGAAACGCATGTGCTGCCTGCATCAACAACCTGCCCTGCCTGTGCCTCCCTTCGAGGTACAAGACGGTTTCCATAAGCAGCATTCCGCCGTCCCACTGGCACAACTTTGGATGACGGTTGCAGCCTCAAGACTTTGTCATCTGTGTTTCGCTTGGGGTTAGGCCGTGAAGAGATTTTGCGAGTCGATCAGGCTCGCCTGGAAGCAACCATACAAGAGCGCCTGCTCCACGTGAGTGAGGAACGACATCGTCTCAGCGCCACACTCGACGAAACTCTGGCTTCACTGACGCAACGGGAAGAGGAACACGCCGCTGAGCTCGCTGCTCTTCGCCAGGTACGACTTGAACCCGCCCCCCCTTCTGACCACGACACGTTCCCGGGCTTGCCCCCGCTTGTGCTCGTGGGCCACGCATGCGGATTAAGCACAAACCTCCATGTGCGATAGGAGCAGCAGACAGCGCAGAACGATTGGGCGCAACGCGAAGCCGCGCTTCGTGTTGAGATTGAGCAGCTGACGGCCCGAGCCCAGTGCGCCCGCCCTCCCCCTTGCCTTCCTGATCCTCCGCTCTTTGGCAAACGCCCTCACTCACCACCTGCTTTTGGCTCGTCAATGACAACAGAATTGCGTTTCAAAATCATCATCCAGAGCGTCGGCCTCCAACCGAAGATCGCACCCCAGACTGGTATCGCAAGGTAAAACGCTCACGCTATGAGATCAATTCTTAATGACGTTCATTCAAGGCCCGAACCTAAAAGTACCATCCCCAGCCTGACTTTCCCGAGGCTCACACTTCGTGAATCTCGCGCACAGAAACTGGCCACGCAAAATAGAGAACTCGAGCGCCTCCGTCGCTTACTGCGCAGCGGCAAGCGTTTTTGAGCCCACAAAATCCAGGGCAGCTTGAATGAGCGCATCATTGAGTTGACTCGGGCCTGACAATGTTTGAAACTGCACGTTGGGCTGCGTTTGCGTCACGTTGTGCATGAGAGCCGCCAGTGCAGGATGGTTGACCGTGCGATCCTCCACCTGATCCACAACCAAAGCCGGGCGACGGCCCAGCGCTGCTAGCACCGCATCATAATCCAGGGGCAAAGCTTCAGCATCCTCTCGGTACCATCCAAGCTCGGGCTGCAAGGCGTGCTGCTCATATAGTGTCCAAAGACCCCCCGTGGTCGAGGCCAGTGTGTCGTTGCGCAGTGGCGAGAGCGCTGCCAGGGCTGCCATACCCGCACACCGGGCGTCCAAGGCGCAGGCGTAGGTGCCCACAATGCCACCCATGGCATACCCCACCACGTACATGTGCTCAGGCTGGATGGGTGGATACCATTGGCCCAGTTGGTCATGAATGTCCAGGCCATCTGGATGACTCCCATTGAAGGGCGCAGCGAGAAAGTCAAACGCAGAAGATACGTCCTGTACCAGCTTGCCAAGCAACGACCACTCGGGAAAGCGGTGGTAAAAGCTGCGCTTTTCTTGCAGGCGATGACCAAATCCTGCCTGGTGGTATGTTAGCACAACGTAGCCAGCCTGTGCTAGCTGACTGTACGCGCGCTCCGAGTCTCGCGGATAGTCTTCGGTATAGCCACGCTACCACATCGCCCAGTCGTATCACAACCACATTTGACCCAGCACGACGAACGAAACAAGATGCATCCCAACACAGGCGTGTGAGGCTGGTTGCGACATGCAATTAATATTTTTTTTTTTCCCCTGATGTCAACTTGCTGGGCAAGGGTCGAGTGGTCGAACAGGCGCAGGACAATAAGGCAACCTACCTGATAGGAATAGGGGTGCAACCAAATGATGGCCGGGCGTGGCGTATTGTCTTGATCGGCGCCTTTGGGGTAATACAGGTTGCCCTGGAGGTAGGGGCCAAAATTCACGGCCATCTTTGTGACGTTGCCTTCCGTCTGCACCAATTCATCGCCTGGCAACATGTATTGATGGGGCACAGATCAGGATCAAAGGGAGTGTCACACCACAAAGGCTTTCAAACCAAAACAGTAATTTGAAACAAAACAAAACAAAACAAAGCAAAAGCCCAGCACACTCGCCCAGCACCGACAGGCGTACCAGTGCCAAACATTTGCTCAATGTACTCAAGACTATCCAGGCCATAGCCACCACCTGGGGACCAGGGCAGCGGGTGCTCCTCAGTTTCACCCAAAAGCCATCGAATCTGGGTTGTAGTGGAGCCATGGCTAGGAAAGGCGAGGGGCTTTCGCCCAACGCTCCAGCTCGCCCAAGAGAAGTTATGAAAGAGGAGCTGTCCGGCATGTCAGCCCGTATGGCAACGTCAGGTCGCAAGGAAAAGGATGGGTGAATGGCAGCCATGCACGAATTTTCATGGCGGCGGATGAACTTTACCTCGGGAAAAGCAGTGGCAATACTGGCATTTAACGATGAGCGCTGGAAAGCCGCGTCGAAAAAGTCAAAGTAGTTCTAACCAGGGAGGATAGACGTGCGGTCAAAACAAACGACAGCTGCGTGTCGGCGGGCGTCCTTGCGTTTGTGGTGTGCGTTGGCAGCCTCGACACGCCCGGACAAACCTGAATTTCTTCAAAACCGTGGTGCTGACCATCGCGGTAGTGAATGCGCAGACGGTCCGTGGCATTGTCGAGTGCATATACGGGCCGCGCCGCTTGATAGCTGCTCTCGACAGCAAAGGTGGGATCGCAGGGATCGTTCAGGGCGCATTCGCTATAGAGGCGTTATCAATGTGACCAAAAACCCGTGCCGGTGAGGGGCAAAGAGTTGACAACACTCGAAGCGTTTACGAGGCAACGATCGGAAATGAGGCTGCTCAAACCTGAGGAATGGGCGTGGGGCGATGAGCAGGAGCAAGGCATGGCTGTCAATGGGCATCTCGTTCTCCCGGCCATCGTAGTCAACCACCGAAGGCAGCCACCAGCAGCACCGTGAATCCAGGGGGCGAGGATCCGTCGGGTTGCGGGTACAGCTGCAGTTGAGTTCGGGCGGAGCATTGGGCCAGGTGCCATAGGGAGACTCGGAGAGCGTGAAACTGGAGGTCATGCGGTATGGGGACATGGCTGGGGCTCCGGAGCTGGAGGAGATGACAGCGCTGATGCGTTCGTCCCAGGCGGCAAAAATCATGCTTTGCTTGCCGTTGCGGGAATGGCCAGTGATGCAGACCTGGTCCGGTTGGATAAAGGGCAACTCAATGGCGTAGTCCAGGACACGCATGCCGAGCCAAGCGCGGCGGGCAATGAGCCCCCAAGTGGCGTCTGGATAGGCCAGGCGAAAGCCATCGGTCTGATCCAAGCTGTCGGCTCCGGGGTATACAAGTCCCACATACCCACGGCCCACACCAGCAAGCGCCCAACGGCGGTGATTGCCCTGTGTCAAAAAGAGCGGGCAGGGGTGGGCGGCCGTGCACTGGCTGGGGATGAGAAGCTCGATCTGGATAGTGATTGAGATGTTCTGTGCCGTGCGATAGGTAATGTTGACAAAGGAGTCATTCACTTGACGCGCAACAGTGCTGTGGTGCCATTCCACGTGCGCGATGACAGGCACGTCTTTGGGGAAGTGGCCGTAAAAGGTGTCGGCGAGCAGCTGACGAGCTTCCGCGCGTCGCGCTGCAAGGGCCGCTGCGTCGGTGACATGAGTGCCGTTGGCAAACTCGAGCAACGGCGGGAGTTGATACAGGCCTTGATGCGGCCGTGCAGTAGCAACACCACCCACAGAATAACCATGAGAGAGCGCCGAGCTCACGCTGCAGATCAAGGCCAACAACAGCACGCCGCCGCCGTACGCATCTCGTGCCACCATTTCTGACCCAGTAATATACATGCGAATGCAGTCACGATATCGGAAATTCTGAAGAGAGAGATTTAGAGAGAGAGAGAGAGAGAGAGAGCTTCAACAACAAAGTTCAACAAAGTTCTTCGAGTGAGAGAGGAGGTTCAAAAGAGAGATGAAACGTGTCAGTCAGTCACTCGTGGCTTTTTCAATTTTTTTCATTTTTGTAGCGCAGGTGCAGTGAACGAGCTGGGGGTCGAGTCTTGGCGATCTCTGGGCGGGTTGTGGTTAGTGTACGGTGCTGGGGATTTTTGATCTTTCGGGCATGGTCCTGGCAGTGCTATTCACGGGACAAGGCGTGAACAGACTCGATCGTCCCTTGCGATCGATGCTGCCAAAGTTGCTTTTGTGTGTGTGTGTGTGTGTGTGTGTTGAGCTGGCAAAAACGACCAACACGACTTTTCGCTTCTCTTTTTGGAGGGCCATGCCGGCGTGCGCTCGGACTGCCAACAAGCTCGCGGTGTGGAGCACACCTTTGGCATGGCAGGATGATGCGAAAGGCAGGAATAGGGTGGCAGGTTGGGTGTGGGTGGTCGGCCTTCAATGTTATTTGGAGTCAATGGAAAGCACAATCACGTGGATGTGTTGCGCTGGCTTGGGGTGCCCCATCCACTTGCTTCGCCCCTGGTTCATGCCCCTGCCTCATGTCGGTCCCTCTCACTGCTCCTCCTGGGCCGTAGATATATCATAGCACGCGCGCGTCTGGTATCTTTTGGTTCCCATTTCCTCTTGCGTTCAGTCCCCTCCCAGCATGGCTCGCTGGCTTGTATTGGGCACCGCGGCAGTGCTTCTGCTCGCCGGTCTTACCGTGGCCCAGTCAGACAGCAGCGGTTCACCGTCCTGCAAGTACACGGACGATGACGGTACCACCTATGACATCAACGTTCTGCGCAAAATGTTCGTCTCATAACTTGTTTGCATCCTGCACATCAGTTTGTCCGATTCACGTCCCTTTTGCTGTGGCTTCCGCGCCGACCGTAGGCCCCGCACAGGCTCAACCTTGGAGTCGGACAACTACAAAACCGTACAATATGGTGGCTACGATGATGCCACCAACCAGCAACTGGTATGTATGAACCGCTTCGCCCTGCAGCCTTATTTTTCGACCTGAACCTTTCTGATCTTCACCTGGCTTGATGTCATCTTAGACTGACTACGACTTTTACATCAACGTGTGTGGTGAGATCAACGCTGAAGCCGATGACGTTGCATCGGGAGCTGGCATGCTGCAGGTCAGTGCAAATGCGCGCGCGCGCGTGTGTACATCTCATGTTTCCAGCCGCCTGCGTCGCGTATATCCCCCACCTCGCTCATGTATGTTGTTGGGCATTGATGATCGGATGTCATCGCAGACTGAGCCCGGCAAGAACGGCTCGTACATTGGTGGCACCATCGACAACGCCCGCCTCTTCAGCCTTCGTGGTATGTGTGCTTCCTTGCCCCAATGCCAATGCATAGACTTTTTACATCCACCTTGCACGTGTTCTTCTGGCGCGCACGCACACATCTTCCCGCAAAGGCCATGGTACCTTACCCGCCTGATGTCGCGTGTCTGTCAACCAGATGGTGATTTGCGATACACCTACGGCCCAGGCCAAAAGTCTCAATCCTGCGTCAATTCTGGCAGTTCGGACTGCGAGGGTCGCAAAACCATCATCATCTTTTTTTGTGCTGACGTTGGCTACGTACGTTTATACCTGTTACTGCCCCATGGTCTTTGCTTGAGCCCTGAAACGCGCACACCTCCATGGATCGTGTTGGAACTGTGGTCAGCGTATCTGAGTGCACTCATTTTGCGTTTTGCTCTGTGCTCACCCCCTTTTTTCGTTCTTCTTCTTCACTGCCTGCTGATCTCACAGGGGACGCCCACCTTTGCTGATGAGATCTCACATCTCCAGTACCTGTACGTCTTACCCTTCCGCCCACGGCAGTCATCACGCGCGTGGCATTCAGGACATATGTGTGTATTTTTCCTTACTAATCTGGTGTTGTGGCCTCTCCTTAGCTTTGTGTGGAACACGTGTGCGGCTTGCCCCACCGATTCAGAGCTGTACAAGAAGTGTGGCCCAAAGCCCGTGGAAAAGTGCAGCTTTATTGGCGGCAATACCGGCTTGAGCACGGGCACGATCCTTTTGATCATCTTCATCGTCGTCTTCCTTTTCTACCTGATTGTGGGCATTCTCTTCAACCGATTTGTGGCCGGCAAGACCGGCTTGGAGATGATCCCCAACCACAACTTTTGGGGCACCCTCTTCAGTGCTATCAAGGTTGGTTGGTTGAACACGCTGCTCCACCTTTGCCTTGCGCTTAGGAGAAAAAAGAACTACTTGTGCCCTTGTTCTGATTCCGCACCCCACACCTCACTGCCTTCCCACGGTCCTAGGACGGTTGCATGTTCATGGCCACTTGCGGCAAGCGGGCCCCCGTCGATCGCCCCGTTTCCTACAACGTATGTGCACCACTTTCGCCCCGGCGCGTTGCCTGTTGCATCTCTCCTCATACCTCACTCTCGCTTCGACGTGAGCAGAAAATCTACTCCACGGGCCTCGAGATTGACGATGACGATAGCGACATTGACGATGATGCGGAGGAAGAGAAGCTTTACTCTTAAGTCCTGCCCACTCTTTCTTCCTTTGGTTCTTCACCCTGCATTACAGCACATGTCTCAAGATAAAAGCCAATGCACCTGGCCAAATTGATAGTAGTCCTTCACGTGCCGAGTATGCACAAGCACATGCTCGATGAATCTGCCCAAGCTTAGAGCAAACACAATCCTATGGACCTTGAGGAAACCCAGCATCGCAGGGACAGGGGCGGGCGGGAAATCTTTTTTTTTCTTTTCATTCTTCTTCTCTTGGAAGAACAAAAGGTTGTCTCGCGTTGTGAAGGACACACACACACACACACACACACACAGAGCGATGGCGGTTTGTTTGTGAATTTCCGTTTTGCAGGTGCGCGCTCCCCTACCTCCCCCTCGCTTCCCCCCCGCCCCCCCTTTTTTTTCAAAGGAGTGCTTCTGCCCTCGCTTGCCCGGTTGCCTTTGCTTTTCTGGTCTTTTCCGGGTTTGCGGCCTCTTGTGTGTGCCTCTCTCTCTCTCTCCACCCCGCTTCCCTCCCTTGTTTCATCCTCCTGGGATTTTCATGATACCTGCTTTGATGGGAATGCGGTGCCAACACTCATAGATGGCACCGACCGTTTCATCGTGTGCTTCGTCCCATTGTGTAGATGCGCTCGATCGTGCGACCGGTTCAGCCCATCCACGCCCGTGCCAACAGCACCCACTCTTCTGAGCAATCGGTTATTCCATCTTTTGACCCGCCCCAGCAGTGCTTTGGCCTCGTTGGTTGGCCTCGTTCTTTACCGGCAACATGGCTGCTGACGCTACGGTACACGACTCCCTTTGCTTCTTCCTTCGCTGCCTTTGGCTTGGTGCGAACACCAGGACAGTGCGTGCGCTCATGGTTCAGCAACTATTCACAGGCCAAAACGCGCAGCATCGACCTCGGGGAGTCGCTGACCTCGATGGACTGGCTTCCCCGCGTCAATGTGGGCAAGGGGTAGGCAGCACATCTTTCGATGACGCCCAGTTGTCGCCTTTTCTCTTTTTCCTTTGCTCGCATTTGGTGGGCGTGCCGAGTCATGAACCACTCTGTTGTCTCGTTTGCCGCTGCCTGCTAGCCGGGATGGCGATGGCAAGCCGCCCTACTCGTACGCCTCCTTGATCACTTTTGCCATCAACAGGTGCGTTCTGGACCCTTTGGTGATCCTCCTGCGCGTGATCTTCAATTCTCGCAAGCATAGATGCTGCACCAGGTTGCCTGATCTGTGACGTCTGTTCTCCTCGGGATATAGTGCCAAGGGCAAGAACAAGAAGATGACCCTTGCTGAAATTTGTGCGTCTTCGTTTTGGCTTTGTCAACCGTACATCAAGGCCCTCTTCCGCGTCAAGATTCGACCAATGTGTCCTGCTTGCCCTTCTTGGACGCGGCTGACTGTGCGATTTGCCTCTTTAGACGAGTGGATTCAAGAACATTACCCCTATTTCAAGACGGCAGGCAACGGCTGGAAGGTATGCCTGGTTTTGAGCCAACCCAATTGCACCGCCCCATCTCACTTCCACCGTTCTGGCTCTGTCTCTGTCTCTGCCGATTGTGTTCATTTTGCGCGCCTGCTCGGACGGATGCGTTTAGAATTCGGTTCGCCACAATCTGTCGTTGAACAAAATCTTTTGCAAGCTACCCCGCGATCCAGACAACCCCGGCAAGGTACATGCCCTCATCAATCGGTGCCATGCGCTTGCGTGGCTTGCCATCATGTTGGCCTATCTCGTTTCCAAATGCTACCCGCTGCCAATGTCCACTGACCCAGCTACTCCCCTCATCATCATCAGGGCTCATATTGGACCGTCGACGAAGGCCGAGCGGATGATGATGACGCTGCCTCGGAAAAGCCACGGCGCAAGAAATCTCAGGTAGCTGCTCCACGCAAGCCTCGCCCTATTGACTTTCCCGGTTGACTTACCTTGCCTTTGTGCGGGACACGATTAGTCGGATCCGCCCAGCAAGCGTGAGAAGCGACACTCAGCGACGCTCAGTGAAGTGTCCTCCATTGATACGCGTTCATCTTTCCCCGATGAGCTCGTGGTGCGCCCAGAGATGTCATCCACCACAAGCGCGCTCCTGGACGTGACGATTCACGCGCCGGGGGAAGACTTGCAGCGGCACATCGAGGCAGCTGGCCTCACCCTGGCCGAGCCTGGGATGCCTTCGCTGGATAATCTCCACGCCTACCAGGTATGCCTCCTCTCGAGTCGTTTGATGCCCCATTTTCCTACGCGTAGTACCACCACACTGACTGTGCGGCATTGTCCCGGATGAGGCTAGAATTTGAACGATTCCTTTAGTCGAGTGTACAACTCCCTGCGGGACCCACGTGCCTCAATGAACGAAGCGCCAGCGCTACCTTCCTCCGTCATTCCCGAACCCATGCCCAACCTCTTTGCCTCCTTGGACAAGAGCCTGGTGACCTTTAGCACCATCAAATCCGTCCTTGCGGTTGGTGTGCCTTTCTCGTTCGGCTTCCAGTCGCCCTTGCCATGCAAGCTCGCCCGTTCTTGTCTGCACACGCTCACGTTGGTCTTTTGACAACAATTCTGGGCCAATAGACGGTTGACGGCAACGATTCACTCAAGGCGTCGGTGTCTGCCGAGTCGTTGCGGTGAGTCCCTTGAGGCCGCGTCCTCTGCTGACTCCCTGCCTGGACAGGTGCTGGCGTGTCTTTTGCCTGGATGTTCACCGTGGGATTGATAATCATCAAACCGGTTGCAGGCGTACGCGTGAGCTGGCTGCTACAGTGGAGCAGGAGTCTGCACAAAACAACAATTGGCTAGCCTCGCAGCACTTCAAGGACTTGGCTGCATCCTTTGTTGATCTGCTTGGCCATCAGCAAAACCTGTTGGCCAGTGTGGATCTCAAATCCCTCCCCATGGTACGCAGCTGCTCATAGCGAGCTCGTGTTGATAGTGTGGCATTCATGAACCTGGGAAATGTGCAGGAAACTGTGGCGCTGGGGTCTGGGTAGTGCAAATGTGTAGCGGCAACTTATGTTTGTTCTGGTCGCAGCACACTTTGATGGCACCAGCTGAAGTCAGCGCAGGTCTAGGTGCCACAGGCACCGGCCTACCGCCCCGTGAAGAAGAGGAGGAAGAAGCAGAAGAGTTTGACTGGAATACAATCCTGTAGCACGTGACGAGCAGCAGTTGTCTTCCCTTGAGTTGTGGGCTCGAAACGTGTCTCTTTCACCATTACTACCAAGATGGCAAGGTTGGGGCACGAATCTTCATTGATTTTTTTTTTTTCCTTTGCTTTGAATGTTTTCATTTGAGGCTTGTTTGCGTTTACATTTGCACGAGGGGGCGTTCAGCAGTTGGGCCAAGTGGGTCGGCAAAAACCAATGAACCAGACATGGAAGATGAATGAAACAAGTTTTGACGTACTCGCAGGGCATCTCAACTCATCACGAGGGGTCAGACGCCCACACACGAGGGGTGCAGGGATCAAGACAGGAGAAAACAAAAGGAGAACATTGGAAACACGTTGTGCAGCTTGGTCAAAGGGCGGTCGTGACAAGGTGAGGGAGGGGTAGCCACGACAAAGGCAGGGGCCATTGACGAGCCCAGCCCCTCTCCTCTTACTCAAAACCAGCAAGTCGCATAGCGAGCTAGACCAGAAGCTTGCAAGAGGCACAAGAAAGACAAAGATTGAGAAAAGAGAACAGTGTGCGGATGGAGCTCGAGTCACTTATGCATAACCCTTGGGGACGACTACAGCCAATTTGTCGCCATTGGCCCAGGAGCCACGATTATTCTAACATTGATTTGCAAGACAAGACGTCAGCAGCGATGGATGTTGTTAATTTGTGGGAAAGGTAAGCGAGGCGAGACGATGAGCCTGCAAGAAGAGCACGGCCAGTCTTTACCTGATAAATGACGGCCCAGGTGGTAATGGCCGCAATCCACACGCAGGCGCCAAAAGCACTTTGGATAACCACTGCAAACATTCAGGCCGGGCCAAGGTTTCAGAGCGAATGAGCGCAAGACAGGGTCGGGAGGTAAGGCCCGATACAAATCCGCTACGGGCTGAGGAGCGGGGGGAAAGCGTACTCGAGCGGATCTTGCGGTTGGTGCGCGCCTCGTTGAAGAACCAGATGACGCACAGCACCCTAAAATAGAACATGGCATGATACAGGCGAGGAAGCATCGGTTGAGCCCAATGATGAGAGTGGACATGGCCCTGAGTGTGCGAGCTTGGCGATTTGTTGGTGGCGCCTTGAGCACAAGGGCGAGCGGGGCGAACCAGAGCCAGGGCAAGAAGAGAAAGCCACCAAAGTAGTAGACGCGACAGGTCTTGAGTTTTTCCTATGGCAAAGCGTTCAAGTCCACGATCGTACGTGTGAGTCAGTCTGCACGACATGAGACCGACCTCGATCCGAGCTGCGGTGAGGGAGCGCTTGACAGACCTCTTCGCTCAACTTGCTCAGCTTCATTCTGGCGGTGAGACGGGCTACATGTAGTCAAAGACAAATCAGGCAAAGGCCAAACACAGATGAGACCAAGCCATTTGCCCCGAGCCCCGTGCAATGGCGTTGCCATCCCCTCACACACACACACACACACACACACACACACACACACACACACACACACACACACACACACACACACACACAAACGCTCTTACCTGTACAAGAGAGAGCTGGAAATGAAGAAAATGGCGCTTTTGGAATGTTTTTTTGTTATGCTCTCATTTTGTCTTACATCCCTCGTTTTCTTTGTTCTCTCACTCTCTCTTGATGTCTCTGGTCTCTCACTCTCTCTCTCTCTGTTCTCACACACACACACACACACTGTTCACTCTCTCTCTCACTCCCTCTCACGCGCTTTGACGACTGCTGCTGCATTTGGCAGTGTGGCGGGACGAGGACGTCGTGGATCGGAGCGAGCGGTGTGGGTGGATCTGGAGGAGAAGACTGGCTTTTGGACCCTTCTCTGCGCACACACACACACCCTTTATTTCTGATTTCGGAGCACCATGACCATGATCCAAGTGCTGGACCGAGCCGCTCAGGCAGCCAGCGACGATGCAGAGACCTGGAGGGAGTTGCAAACGGACTTGTCCAGCCTGGTGGCTGACTTGGCCGGGGTCACACTCGAGCACGCCAATCGACAGTTTGCCCCAGAACAGCACGCCCTGGCTCTTTTGCACGTTCTGTAAGCTTCCGCTCGTGCCCTTGCCACAAACACGCACACAAACAAGTCACCTCGCACTCACCGGCTTTGGATATTCTCCGCAGTCATGCCCAACTGGCAGCCAACCAGCAACCCGACCAGGCCTGGTGCTCGCTGGCCCAGACTTGCTTGGCGCATGGCCAACCCCAACAACTGTACATTTGTCGTGCTCAGGGTTAGTTTGACCTTTAGCCTTGCTCACCATCCCACATTCACGGACAAGATAGGTGTCGGCTCACCCTCTTCGCCCATCACACAGTGGCCGTGGTCGCCGATGCGTTCCTCCGCCAAGCAGCAGCTACTTCGATTGAGCAGGTGCGACCCCATTCAACCACTTTCGCAGCGCTGTCCTCTGCCAGTACTGTCGAGCCTGCCCTCGTTTGGCGCCGCGCCAGCCCAACTCCAACGCCCATGGCCCAAGGCAAAGCCCATTGACACACTTTCTATTTTGCTTGCCTGCTTTGATTATACTCACTCACCCCCACTGAAACGCAACCCAGCTGGACCGCGCTCTGGTCATCGTCAAGGCAGTCATGCCCCATGTCGCACCGAACCCTGCCACCTTTACCGGACTGCACTCTGCCTTTCTTCGGGTGCGCCATTGTATCGCATCCTTTTCACCTGCACGGGGCTTGGTCAAAGTGCCTGCCTGCTGTCCTACTACCACGGCTTGACCAACCATGTTCCGCTTGCCACCTAACACAGGCCTGCGTCGTATCCAAACACTACTGGCTCGGCCTCGACTTGGCCGAAGCTGTCTACCATGATGTCGATCCCGAGGCATGTTGGAGCCCTGCTCCCCCACTTCCAGCTGGACGAATGCACAGAGTTGCCGTATTTTCTTTCTTTTGGCTAGGCACACGCAGATGGATCTGACCCCTTGCTATGCCACGGCTTCCACAGGGTCTCTCTGTACAGGCCATGTTTGAAGGACTTTATGCAGCTGTGATGATTTTGATTGCCCACAAACAGTTCGAGCGCGCCTTTCGCCTCACCTTTCAGACGACAACCTTGCCTGCTGAAGCACCCTCTGCCATTGCCGTTGCGGCCTGGAAGAAGCATATTCTCCTGAGTGCCCTTCTGAATCGAAAAGCCATGAGTTTGTCGGTGCGTTCGCGCCCTGGTCTGTCTGTCAGCAGCTGCCCATCTGCTCTCCTCCTGATATCTTTGCACGGGCGTGCATCACAGGAACAAAGCTCGCTGAGTGGCATCGTCTCTCGAAATATCAGCCGTCTTTGCGTACCGTATGAAGACTTTGCCAAGGCGCTTGGCAAAAGTACCTCGCCGGCGGACGTGGCTGCACTCGTCACGCGACACACAGAAACATTCACACGTGCGTGTGATCGGGCGTGCAAGCCAACAATTGCCCGCCTGCACAGCTCGACCATGCCCTTTTCAAACCTCACGTGCAAATACCCCTGCCGACAGGTGATGGCAACCTGGGTCTCGTCAAGCAGTGTGTGGCAGCCGGCGACCGACACCGCGTGCACAAGCTGACGAAGGTCTGTGCTCGCTCTTGGGTTGGATTGATGCGCTGCAAGTCCATGGATGCCAGCTTGGCACTCGAGTCGGGTGCTCTGATTCCACCCACCTTGCTGTGTGGTCGCAGGTCTACGTCAAACTCAGCTTTGAGGACGTCAAGGTCAAGGCCGGCCTGGCTTCAGAGGCGCAAGCTGAGGCTATTTTGGCTGACATGATTGCCAAGGGCACGATTCGCGCGCGCATCGACCAGCCAAACCGAACCGTGGCTTTTGCGGATGTGACTGTCTCGGCACACGAGGAACAAGCTGCAGCCGAGACGATTCAGCACCTGGTGCAGCGGGTGCAAGGCTTGCTGCAGCTTCTCGACACCAAAGATCGTGCCGTGCAACTGTCAAAACCATACATTGAAGCGGTAAGCCAACGCCAAGCGCAGTTACTTTCCCAGTTCAAAGCATTTTGCTCGAGTGAAAGATTTGAGATCGATCGATCGATCGAGCCTGTAGGTCCGTCCAATGTCGCGCGCTGACGATGTCCTGGCCTCGTATCTCGCTCTACACAGCAAATCAAATCGGAGCAAATGAAAAGTGGGCTCGGCGACATGGCCGGCTTGATGGACGAATCGACTTGATTTGAGTTTTGACCTCGTGACAGGTGCACATAGAGATTGACTGTATGGTTACAGCTGGATCAAGGCCGTTTGCCTTCGATTACACGTTCAATTGATGGCGTCTTTTTGCCGTTTGCTGCGACCGCTCTTGTGGCGATCATCTTTTTTCTCTTGGCACAAGCGTTGATGATCTAATCAGTAGCCTGCGTCGTGCTTGCCGTTTTGCGACTGCGTTTGCGCCGGCGCTTCTTCTCGCCAGGAGCCCCGGTCTTGAGTGCTTTGCTGGGCGGTGGGCCGTCTACTTTTTTTTGGGAGTCCGCACAGCACACGCACGAAGAGGCAGAGAAGAAGGCACGTATGAGCAAGTGAGCGAACACTTGGCGAGTGACGACGTGTAGAGGCATAGCGATAGTGTGTGGCGTAAACAAAGCAGAGATGAGAAGGCAGCAAACATACCGTCTGCAACCGAAGGGCCAGCCTCAGCCTCTGGTGCTGATTCTGGGTCACTGTGCGCCACGCTATCAAGAGCAGGCCCGGTACCAGCAGAGAAGAACGAGTCGGCAAAAGCATTGTCGGCTTCAGCGTCAGAATCGTCGTCACTGGCTGCACCAAGAATGTGCTGACTCTCCCGAGCTGAACGCTTGCCTGCCGTCAGAACGTTGGAAAACCGTCGTGATTGATGCAAACGTGAGTGGCGATAACGCTCGTGGCCAGGTTTTGATTTGTGCATGGGACCAAACAGCCAGTGCAAAAGAACCCGAGAACGCACCGCGAGCAGGAGCAGAGGAGCGCCCGCTGTTGCCTTGATTGAATTCATCATCCTCATCCTGTGACTCATATACGAGCTCGCCAGCCTCCACACTGGCGAGGATTTTGTTGAAGAAATTGTCTGCCCAGGCGGAGACGGTTTGTGTGTCAGGAAAATACGGGTCAAGGGCAGAGCGATAAAAAACGCCCGTGTGTAATGTGGAGAGCAAGGGTACGGCACCTCGTTGCTGGCAGGCCCCCTTGGTGAGCTCGGTGTCTGGTTTGAGGATGGAGATGTATTTTTGCGTTTTAGGAAACCTCTGTTTGGGAGCACGGCAGCAAGGCACGGATCAGACGCAAAGCAGGCGATGTGGAAGGGATGTTTAAGCAAGGAGCAGGATGAGAGAGCACGTACTCGCACGTATAACATTTTGCTTTCAACTTTTTGCAGTTCCTGTTGAAGTGTGGCCGCGCTGGAGCAAGACAACAACGGGCAGCAATGCAGGCACGCAGGTGTAGAGGTGAGACTCAGCGAAGCTTTGGTACAGGGCATGGCCGTTGTCAGGGCAAGTCACGCGCAAGCACCGACCGCTCTTCATCAGATTTGGCAATGGCAGCCTGCAGTTGGCCGCGGCGCCGCATCAATTTACGGCGCTCTGGCAAATGGATCGAGGAGAGCAGGCGGGGCCAACAGCAAAGAAGTCATGGCAGAGTGGGGCGCAATCCAACTGGGCCTGCCTGGCCATGAGGGCACGGAACGAGTTGTCGTACCGAAAAACTTGACCATGCGATACTTCTTCTGCATGGCACGCTCACGGTTGGAATGCTGCTGATCCCCGAGTTCTTCCTTGAGCGCAGCCAACTTGCGCTCTTGGGACACGCGCACGGTCTCAGGCAAGTCCGGCTAGAACATGGCCACGCCGGATAGAACACAGTCGGATGAGTGTGCGCACGCTCACGCACCGACGATTCTTTCACCAGCCACCTGCTGGATAGATGTTTGCAATAGAAGCAGGATTGGGTTTGGGACGTCAGTGTCCACGCAGGTACCCGGTGTGAGCGCAGCTTACTTTGGCCAGAAAGCGCTGAACATCACGAATCTGACTGCGCACGCTCTTGTTCTTGGGCTTGGGGCGGCGACCTTGGCCGGCAGGGCCCGTTGGTGGCGGTACCATTCTGGGAGCTATCTTTTGCAGCAGTCACCCGATACCAACGTCAACTTTGTTTGTATCACCACGAGCTTAGGTCACCCCTCCTGCCTTGAAATTGGCAGTCCCAAAAAGCACGCTTCACCAGCAACTCGGGTCGAGAGACAGGACCAGCGTCGGCGCTCAAGACGTGCCCAGAAAGTCGCAGCACCAGCAGCAGCAGCGGTCAAATCTCACGTGTGTGTGTGTGTTGTAGAGAGAAAACAGAGAGAGAAAAGAGAGAGCACAGCGCGAAGGGGCAGTGTGCGAAGGGAGTGAGTTTGTGTGTGATATTGCTGACATGCTGATAATTCTGCTGGGTGGGCGCATTTTCAAAGAGTGCTTGCATGCACTTTGCGCCAGCTCCTATTGCCCTTTTCTGAAGATGAAGGATCAGTGCTACGGCAAAGCAGCAAGCTGGAGCTTGCCCATGCGACGGGCTGGGTTGCTCAGCAGCCTGCACCAGGCTGTACGACGGTCGGCGTCCGTGGGCATTGTCTGTTCTGCATCCATGCAACCTTGTGTGGGCTTGAAGCGTTGCAGTCGCAACATGTCGGCCTGCACTGTGCAAGGGCACTCTCGCTTCTGCCACCTCCACGCATGATCCCCCAAGACACGTCCATGCATATCGCATACAGCCTTATGTTTCGGAGGTTGGCCCACTTTCACCATAGCCGCTCTGCTCCAGCTGCGCTTTGAACATCACTTGCGTGCGCCCTGTGCATGCCGGACCATTGATCTCCACAGGCGCCTCACGACTTGTCTCACTTTTACACCCTCCCCCCGAGCGGCGAGAGTTCAGAGCGCGCGCCCCCTCGTTTCTTTTTGGAAACTAAAGCGCTTCTCAAAATTGTCTCGACTTCCTCGTCCGTCACACAGCAACTGTCCCAGAAACGCGCTTCTTGTTAAGCAGGCGCTGTACCCTCGCACCTGCTCAGTTTCGCTGCCATATCGCAGCAGATAGTGCCATATACTGCAGGCACTCTTTTGCCGTACCCCCGAGCTTCGTCACTGCCGGGCTCGAGCCCCGTGTGGTTAGCAGGCTTGGTACTTGGATGGCGGCGCACTGACAATTTGGTTGCCTGATCTTGACTGCCGTCTGTACACTCGAACCGGCCACCCCACCCCGCCTTCCTCTTTGCTCATTGCTCAAGGCAACCAGGAAGCAACGTATGGGTCTGGCTGGCCGTAGTAGACAAGTCAAGCCTCAGGCTCCCGTTTTTCAGAAGTGCACCGTCATGCCACGCCGCGCAATTTCGCGCGGCGCTCGGGGTGGGCTGCTGGGCGTCGCTCTGCTCTTGGCTGCAAGCATGCTGCCCCTGACTTGCGCCCAAACCTTTCCACCTATTGACGATGACTCGGGATCAGGATTCCTGGTGACAAGCACAAGCAGCCCGATTGATGGTTCCGGCGATTTATCCGTTACCACGGTCTCTGCTACATCCACTGTGTCCACTCCGCTCGGCTCCACCATTGATGAGGGCTCTGGTAGTGGATCCAGCCCCGCCCCGTCTACCTCAACTAGCGAAGTTTTGACCACAACGCAAGAGGAGGCCACCACTGAGTTTGAGGAATTTACGCTCTTGGACCTACTGCAAATGGACACACAACTTAGTGGCTTCTTGCAATTGGTCACGCGGGCTGGTGTGGAATTTTTGTTTAGCGATTTGCCGCTGACCGTGTTTGTGCCCTCGAATGTTGCACTGGCCGCCATCAGCCCTTCTATTCAAGGTCGCCTAGACACAGCCTCAACCGGCGAACTACAACCCTTTGTCCTACACCACATGCTAGCCGGGCGTCTGACTTTGAATGCATCGACCCCAACACCACAGAGCCTGGTCGCTCTCGACAACAACCCCGTGATCTTGGACCAAGCCCTCCTCGAAAATGTTCTCATTTTTCAAGTAGATGGACAGCCCTTGGCCCGACTCAATGTTACTGCTGTCAATGGTGTCCTGCATCGTCTCGATGAAGGTGTGCTCCTACCACCTGGCTTTGTACCCTCCACATCCACGTCAATGTCACCCATTGTGAGCACTACAGGCAGCCCAGCCACTGGCTCCTCGACCCCTGCCAATGTCAACACCAGTCCTTCCACTTCAACCTCCAGCTCTACCTCCACCTCCAGCTCTACCTCCACCTCCACCTCTACCTCCACCTCTACTTCCACTTCCATGTACACTTCCACGTCTACTTCTTTCTCCACCTCCACCTCCACCTCCACCTCCACTTCTACCTCCAGCACCAGCACCAGCACCA